ACAAAAAAAAAAAAAGAAATCTTTGAAGATTTTTCTTACCTCATCTTTCAACATGTGAAGAAGGGTGGTCTTGCCAGCATTGTCAAGTCCTAAAAACAGAATCTTAGCCTCTTTTTGCCATAAACCCAGAGATGCAAGAACCCCATAAAACCAATCCAGTAGAAACATGCTGACTGAATCTAGAGGAATCTAGGAGCAATAAAAACAAACAAAACACAGAAAAAAGACCAGATCTTTTCCTTCTGATTAAAATGGCAGATCCAAAATTTGGGATCTAAAGGAAAAGAGGAAATATAAGTTTATAAGAATTAGGAAACGTTGAATTGAAAATGAATATGGGAAAGGGAGGATGAGGAAGGCAAATGGAGAAATCTGAAAAAATTTATTGTATTTTTCCAGCTAAGGCAGGCATGAGTTACATTACAGCTAAATTTTTTGACTAATTTATTGCACCTTGAGTTGTTTTGGTCTTTTTATTGGAGAGCTTTTCAACTTTTTTATTTATTTATTATTTTTTCAGAATTTTGTAAGGTTATATTTGACATAAAAAATATATAATTTTTTATTCATATGCTATTAAGAAATATTAATAGTTGAATTTATTAAAATTAAAAAATTTTAATTAAAAGCTTGAACGAAGATTTTAGGAGCTAATGACCTTACTTAGATTTATTTTAAAACTTAATAAATAATATGAAAATTCATATTATCGTGTCATAATTCGTGTTTAGGTAAACACAAATGCAATACAATTAATTAAATAAATTAAGATACCAAATAAATGTTATATAATAAATAAATCAAATTAAATTTTATATAATATAACAAATTCATTTAAACACAATTAACATGTTTAAATAAATATCATAAAGGTCATATATATAGTAAAACGAGTATAACTTGTTTAAAATACAAAATAATAACTTTTAGGGTAAAATATCATAATTTTAAGTTTTAATCCAAATTTTAAATAAATTTATTAGTTTTCGAAATATACACTCTATTATAAAAAAAATTTTTTGTTAAATATATAGATTCAACTGTTAGTCAATCGTTAATATTTTTATTAAATTGATAAAATGTTAATATTAAAATAATAATTTAACCATTTATTAACTTTTAAAATTATTATTATATAATTTTTATTTTTATTGTTATTTTTTATTAATTAAAAAAAGTAACGAGCTAAAAAAGATCGGTCGATACTATTTTTTAAATAATAATAATAATAATAATAATTTTAAAATTATAAAAAAATAAATTTTAATCTTTTCATCATCTCTATTAATAATATTTACACTTTTAAAATAAAATATTAATTACAAAAACTAATAAATTTACTTAAAATTTCAACTAAAACTTAAAAATGAAAAAATGTTTTACCCGTTGTATCACGAGGACATTTAAGCCCAAATCTTTCAGACATTCAAACGTGAGCCCAAAATCGGGCCCAATGAACGAGATTAAGCCGACTCCATAAGGCCAAAGCCCAACCCATTTCATAAAGAAACAAACGGGGCATTTTCGACATTCAAACATCAAGAATTAGGGTTTCGAACTTTCACCAAATAAAAGGGCTAAACTTTTCTCTCTTTTATCTCCTCCATCCAAAACACCCTAGTCAGAGCAGCAGCAGCAGCTTCTCATTAGCCTCAGGTTAGCTTCCACTTCGGTCCATTTTCGGTTAAGAAAAGGACTCATTTCTCTGGAAAATTAAATTAATTTTCTTTTTTTTCGTCTGTTTTGGCTGAGCAGAGATGGCAAAGTCAAAGAACCACACCGCTCACAACCAATCTTACAAGGCTCACAAGAATGGCATCAAGAAGCCCAAGAGGCACCGCCACACCTCCACTAAAGGGGTATCTCTTTTTTTTTTTAATCGATTTTTTGAGTAAAATTTGATTGTTTTATACTGGGTTTTCTTTTAAATGTAAAAATTGATTTTTTTTTTCTTTGTGGATATGTGTAGATGGATCCAAAGTTCTTGAGGAATCAGAGGTATGCGAGGAAGCACAACAAGAAGAGCGGAGAGTCTGCTACTGAAGAAGAGTAAATTTTAATGGGAAGGAAAATAGCTTTGATTAGGGTTTTCTAATTGGGGCTGTTTTGCGTTTTCCTCTCTTTGGGTCTTTTCAATGGAATTTAGTGTTAATTTACTGTCTACTCAGCTTTAGCGCCTGTATTGTTTTTTGGGATTGTTGATTGTCCTTGTTAGAAAAGATTTGAAGCTGTAAGCTATTAATATCAAGAAGATATTTTGAGTTTATTTGCTGTTCCTTTTTCTTAAATTATGTTTAAGCAGTGATTACTTTATTGGGCAAGGAAATGTTGGATTTTTTCAGCTGTGGATGATGCATGGTTATTACATTGGTGGATTTTATGGTTTTCATTTCTAAATTGACGGTTTGGATGCTTTTGTGTTGTGTCTTGTTAGGCATTATTATCTCATAGAATATCAGAATGAACCCCAGAAATTTTGTTGATTACTGCCTTAGAACCTGTTCTTTAGTGTTAGGCATAGTCCCTCAATCATATTGTTTCTTTTGGGAGTGGTCAATAGATTATATTTTAGCATCATCATTTGGAACTGTGAATCTCATTTGATAATGGTGAGTTTCCGTGTTCGGAGTTTTCTTTTGATTTAGGCATCTCCTTGGGTAGGGGTTGCTTTATTAGGAACCAGGCGCTGTCTTGATGAGGATCTGTAACTAGTAGGTTACTTGTTCTGTCTCGTTCGATCTATGATTCAATTCCCTGGAGCAGGTTATTTGCTCATATTATAGCCACTCTTATCATTGGTTTATATTTGTTCGGTTTCTCAAGATTCAGACAACTCCTTGGGGGAGAATTTGGGTAGGGGTGGCTTTCTCAGGAGTTGGTCATGGTCGTGAATGCGTGTACTTGTTCTGTCTTCTTGGATCTATGATTCAATTCCCTTGAGCAGCTTGTTTGCTCATTTAATAGCCACTCTTTGCATTGGTTCATATTTGCTCCGTCATTCTCATAATTCAGACAACTACTTGGGGAGGGTTTGGGTATCCGATTCTATATTAGGAACGGTGGTGCTCATAAACTTGTTCTGTTTCCAGCGATCTATGATTCAAGCCCCTTGAGGATATTTGCTATTATTATTGGTTTCATATTTGTTCAATTTCTCATGACTCAGGCCATTCCTTGGGGTAGAATTGGGGTAAGTTTTGCTTTATCAGTATTCGGTATCGGTACTAGTTCTGTCTCATCAATCAGCTCAATTCACCAGAGCAAGTTAGTTGCTCATTTTAATAGCCATCTATTGGCATTGGTTCATATTTGTTCGGACGCTGTTGAAATAATAGAACTGCAAAACTACTTCAGACTGAAAACAAAAATTGAAGGCCTCTTATTTCAAGGTGGTCAAAGGAACTTTGAAATTGGGAAGAAATTATCAACACAGGTATCTCTGCATCGCACTGGACAACAACTTGACAAACCATGACACCAAGCTGTAAAATATTTCAGGCATGACTATCATCAGCAAATGAGCAAATTCCTCCAAGATGTTTCTTCTCATAAGATGGCTGTTGTGTAGATTACGATCACCAAGAGAAACGTGGTTCCTTGATACTCCCTAATACAAGCAAAGTTCTTCAAAATTTTATACCTTTTTTTTTTTTTTGAGTGTCGACAAGCTTAGACTGCAACTGGTTCACTTACTGGACTACTAGAAGCAGGGGCTTTAACCTGGTTAATAAATAAGATTGGAGGGAGGGAAATGAACTTGTCGTGAGCTTGAATACATGATATGCAATCAAATAGTGTGGAGAGATTTACTATGCTTACCAGCAATTCACTGGTTAGTGAAATGCTGGAGTAGTGCGAGTGCTTTTGCTTTTTCAGCACTTGAGCATAAATTGTCAGTAAGTAAAGATCAGAAACTCACTTTGGCTGATTTAAATAGTTCGTCGAGAACTTCGGACAGAGTTGGATGTGCATGAACTGCAAATTTGATGTCCTGCATGATGCAAGCAAAACAGTCATTATGACAAGATCATAAATGGTTAACAGCTTCACTGGATTTCAATGAAGAGAAGTGAACCATAAATATTTTGGTTTTTGCACAAAAGGCGCACCTGGATACGTGTCCCTAAAGCTATGGCATTTGATGCCTCATGGATGAGGTCTGCTGCATGCAAGCCAAATATATGAACTCCAAGAATCTCTCCGTTGTCAGGTCTGTATATCAACTGCATGAAGGAAACATGGGTAAAACTTAGCAACTGTACCAACAGAAAGGGGAGATGTTTCAAAGAGATAGAATAGGTTAGAATCATTTATCCTTATAGAATTTGATAAATATTTGTGTCAAGCATTTTGTGAAACAAATCTTTTCTCTTCTTATAATCGCTTTATTTATTTTATTGGTTTAGTTACCATATGAGACAAGTGTCTAAAGAAATAACCTTAGCAAGTCCCTCCCCTTCATTTTCTGCCAAAGCCTTTGTGTTAGCCTTGAAACTTGTTTTGGCGACGCTTACTTCAAATCCTTCCTTCTCAGCTTTCTCCCTTGCTTGAGGCTGTGAAGTTAGAAATAATCAAATTTTCAGATATTATTTCAAAACACACACACCCCATAAGAAGAGCTACAATTTTAAAACAGAAAATTAGGAGAAAAGATTTGTGCAAAAATATAAAAGGCTCTGTAGAAGAATTTATCTAGCAACTTAAACTTGCTAATTAATCCAAAATGAGGTGTTAGTATGTCAGTATTCACCTCTGTCATTCCAACCATACTGATTTCAGGGTGAGTGAAGCAGGCTGCTGGGATGCTAAGGTGATTAACCACGTGATCTCTTCCAGCGACTTGTTCAACCACTGCATCAAGATATTTAAGCAAAAGATGAAATGGATCTAGATAGAAATATCAGTTATGAATTAGCAAAGAATGAGTTAGCAGGCACTTACCTGAAATTCCTTGTGCACTGGCTGCATGAGCAAGCATCATTTTACCATTTGCATCACCAATGCAGTACAGGTGAGGAACCTAGAATTTAAATTGAACATCAGCGGTGTTTGGTGACTGTCATACAGGAAATTTATAGTCAGCATGAAGTTTACAACTCACCAGCTTGCCATTGGCATCAATTACTCGCATTCTCTCATCAACAGGAACAAAGCCCCTTTGTGTTACCACATTAATCTGAAAAAAAAAAAAAGAACAAAGAAGCATAAATTCATTTCCTTTTAGTGGAAAATCCATATAATCCTACCGTATTGACCAAAAGACATACATTCTCCAAGCCAAGACCATTAGTGAACGGAGCCCTTCCAGTTGCAATTAAGGCTGCATCTACCTGGAGCAAAAGAAAAACACAAAAACAGGCTACTTTAACATATACCATTTACCTGAACCGAGCATAGACTTAACACCAGGAAAAGCATCATAAGACAGCAATTTTGTACATGGTGACATTGTCAATGTACAATGGAAAGAGGCTGCAGTAACTACTGAACCAAAATAGGCAGATTCTATGAATTTCCATAAAAAAGAACAAATGCACATACCTCCAAGGTGTCTTTGGGTTCCTTAGTCTTGGCATCAGTAAGCTCAATAATGACTGGTTTCCCATCCCTTGCAGGAGTGATCTACAAACAGACAAAGGAAGCTCAATAGACATTTTTGGAACAGCCATCCAGAGCGCACACAGATGTTAATAATAGATCACCTTGGTTGCAAACACTCCAGTATGATAGTCAATTTTCCTTGGGTTGATCAGCACCCTTTGGGCCAACTTACCAATCTCAGGATCAAACCCAGGCATAAGTTGATCTAAAGCTTCAATAAATGTGACCTGCATACACCTTTTAGTTAAACTTTGTTGCCTTTTGATAAAAAAAAAAAATTAAGGACACTTAAATTATGCTACTATAGCTTAGGATAAAACATAAAACGTAATGCCAAGACAACTTGTATAATCAGCAGGTAAAGACTTCATTGACTGACTTCTATCCTCTGGTAATTTATGCAAGCATAAATGAATTGAAGAGAATAGATCTATATCTATAAATGGGCATGCTTTCTATGGTCTCAGCTCGTTTGTAGTCGTTTTGTCTAAAAAGGTCACCTAATTTCAAAATCTCAAGAATTTATAGAATTCAGGTGAAAACAGAAGGAGTTGAAACTTATAATGTGAACCAAACCAGAAGGTAAATTTGCAGTCTTTTAATCCTAAAAGCAAGATTCCTACATTCATTTCATAAAAAAAAAGGAACAGAGATAGAAAAAGGTGTCACCTCACTGCCAAGTGCAGTGTATACATCACTGAATTCAAGACCAATGTAACCACTTCCTACAATCGCAATCCAATCAGGAACAAACTCCAATTTGAGGGCATGGTCACTAGTAATAACAGTCTTCCCTGCAGATTATTACTTAGTGATTAGAAGAAACCCAGAAGAATAACAGCACTGAAGATTACAGACATGTGCCTCAAGCATCATTCTGTAAATGCTAAATTTCAAACTTAATCATTAGAAGCAATTTTCTGTCTGATTGCTGGTTGATAAATTTCAATTATTTGTTATATAAAATTTAACCATGTGATAAATTCCCATACAAATCTATAGAAGACTTTGAAGAGATTTCCAGTTTTCAAATCATGTCATCTATACATAACAGATCCAAAATTTCCATCAATTAGACTGCACTTGAATAACTAGGAAATCGTTATCCAAACCTTAAATCCACATTTCACTCAGTTGAACTGATGCCTATGTCCTAAAATTGCATATGACCATCCAAAAGTCTCATGCAAGTAGGCCCAGTTAGGGAAAAAAGGGTTAACGAGGATGAAGCCAGACAATAGAAGCAGTAACATGGTTAGTAATGCTATCAAATGCCTATACAGTCTTAGATACCCAGATTACTTTTGAGCAAAGCTTTAATGAAAAAGTAAGACCACAAAGACAGATTCAAGAAAAAGGAAATGAAGATAATACGTACCATCGACTTCAATGCCCTTGGGAACAAAAGGAACAGAACCAGTAGCAATGATTATATCTTTCGCAGTTACTATGTTGTCAGGAAAACCAACCTTCCCATATTTCACTTTTTGAGGGCCCTGAGTACAAATATAAAAAAATAAGGATACTTGAGAATTCAAAAAACCAGAGCATTATGCATTTTGTTACAGGATATTTATTAGGCTTACCACAATAGTACCAACACCAGTCAATATGTCTACTCCAAGCGCCTTCATTGAGTTAGTCAAATTGCTTCGAATTTTTGAAGCAAGATTATTTGCATGGTCAGCAACTCCCTGTCTGTCATATCCGGCAGCAGAAACCTACCATGTGTAACATATAGAACAGCAGAAAAGGAAATGATCAGGGGTTTACGACTCTGAAAATGGTCCAGTTAACTGATATGATGAAACATCTAGACCACAGTTCATCACATTAAAATATAAGAGATCTTATGAACATTCAAGCTTGTCAGTTAGCAGCATAAATCCATATAGTCATATATGACTTGTTTTGTACTAATCTTGTGTGCCTCAACCTAAGTCTCAAGCAACCAACCATAAGAAAACAATCCTATTACCTGCAAACCCAAAGCCTTCATGTGATGCTCACTCTGAAGTTCACGCATCCTACCACTCACAGCCAATAGAGCTTTCGAAGGAACACAACCTCGGTTGACACACGTTCCTCCCACCACATCTCCTTCGATTATAGCAGTTTTCAAACCCTGCAAATGGCAAAACAGAACAAGCAAAATAAAAACCAATTTCACGCAATTGAGCACAAGACATGATATACTACTACGGACTACACAATAATTACGCTCCAAAAGAAATCAAATTATAAGTATTAATTGCACGTAAATAGCTGGAAACAATAAATTTATGCTCAATGCACCATTGATCTTCGCTTAAGCAGGTAAAACAATGATTAATAACTGAAATACAAAGGTTGCTTTAGATTTTGAAGTTAAATTAAACTTATAAAATAGATAAGAACCAAGTTAAAAGTTTAGTTTGAACTTTCAATACTCGAATTTAAATGTTCTTCTTCTTTGCAAATGCTGAGCTAAGAACATAATTACATTTCTTAATAAGTTCTAATAAACTCCAAAAAGACGGAGAGAAAGGAACTCGGTAAGTTTCAGCTAAAAACTAAAGCTAAATCGCGTGAAATTTTAGTGGTGAACAAAAAAATGGCTGAAAGCACCTTCTCCACAGCATGCAGTGCAGCTCCATGGCCGCCGACGCCAGCGCCGATGATAATCAAATCATAATCGAACGATTTGAGAGGAGTTCCATTGCCTACAGCCGAAGCAGAGATTTTCTTGGAAAGTCCACGGCTCGAGACGTGAACTCGGCCAGAACACGACTGAGTCAAGGAGGAGAACCCGAAAGCTTCCCTCCTGAGTCCACAGAAGCGGAGATTCAGCGGCTGGGATAGAGCGAAGGCAGAAGAATGAGAATCGAAGGCGTAGTTTGATCTAGGAACTGTGGTGACTTGAGAGAAGGACAGAGATGATAAAGCGGAATGCATTTTTGCTGTTTGGCAAGCAGTAAAATGGAAGAGAAAGTAAGAGAGTATTTTCTATTTGGAGTGAGTTGTTTTGCGAGAGAGATCTGAGGAGATATAGGCGAGTGAGGGAAAGGGTGTGTATTTTGCTTTGATAAGTCCGTTAGCGAGAGGAGTGAGGGAGGAGGCGGAGTTACCAAAGCCAGGGCTGATAAACCACCGCTATTTTTGTTTTCTTTTTGTTTTGTTAGTTGTCCCACTTTTTTGCTAAGGTTCGCTCGCTCGGCGCGTGGTCTGTCTTTCACTCCAACATAATTGGGTAAAGTTAAACCAAGGAAAAATAGTAGCCATAGATTAAAAAATATATATGTCTAAATATATATAAGAAAATTATTTTAAGACATCCGGAAAGAGATAATTTTTATTTTATTTTTGACTTTAAAGTCAAGTTCAATTAATTAAAAATCATTTTTTGAAATACTATAGTTTTTTAACGATGACAAGTCATCCTCATACTTTTCAAGGCATTTTTTTTTTATATTCAGACGTGAATTTTCTTATCAAAATACAATTCTTTTAATACTATTATTTTCTTTTTCTTTTAAAATTACGTGAGACATGAAGATTAGTGAGTATACAATGCAATAGGCATAGAAAATATTGAAATTAATTAAAAATTATATTTAATTATTTGTATATATTGTTGTTGAGAATGATTTGTTTACATGATCAAAATGGTAATTTAATTCACCCGATCAATATCTAACATGGATATAAATATAGACTCCCGTGTTTATTGGACCTTTATGTTCATTAATTGTGTATAATTAAAATGTTAAATTATAAAATATACTAGTAGTATATCTATTGGAATTGAAATTAAGTCATTCTTAGAGTATAAGCTTTTAACATAATTTAATTTCGTATGTCAAACGAGAGGATGATCACATGCAATTAGAGCTAAATAAAATTGGACCAAATGATGATTTAATTGAATCAAGTGTAATTTAAATAAAAGTGGTTCAGTTTGATTGGTTTATTGGTTTTATTGATATAAAAAATTTAGTTCAATTGATTTAATTAGTTGATTTTCAATTTTAAAATTTTTGAATTGAAACGACCAAAAAATCAAATTAATATTACATATTTAAAATTTATATAAAATATTTTTTTTTCTATTACTGAGTTAACAATGTACAATAGTTAACTGTCTTATATTAGACGTTCTTATTTTATTGATATTAATTTTATTATTTTTGTTATGTTTAATAATGAATGTTAACATGCAGAGATTAAAATTTTTGAATATTAATTTGATGGTTTATATGGAATGACATAATTATATGAGTGCAATGACAAATGTTATGTTTTTTTTTAATGTTTAGATTATTTGTATATTTTATAATTATGAATAAAGTTTATAAATTTTAATATTATAATTTACAAAAAAATAAAAAAAATAAAATGCTGATTCTTTTGGTCCAACATCGCACCAATTCAATATTTTGTTGGTTTGGAACTCTTTTAATTTTGATTGATTTCGATTAATTTTCTAAAAATATTTGATTCATTTAGTCATTGATTATGATGGACCGAACTAATCAAACCAACCAATTGCATACCCTTACATATCACAAAATTAACAATAAAAAGTATCTATAAATAGGGGTATGATTAAGATGTTAAGAAATTTTGGTCATCAACCATAATTGATAAAATTTTTTCGATAAACACTACTTTATTTAATTTTTAAATACTCATCGTGAAATTATTTTGTACCGTGAAATATGAGTTAAATTATCATTCTCAATTAAATTATATACACATACACATATATGCACGTGTATATACACATATATAATGAATCATACCTCAAATTTCATTAAAAAATGACGACTCAATTAGAATAATTAAAAATTTTATGTTTCTATATTTTTGTATGATGCTAGCATTTTAACTTTTGACCATTTTTTGTTTTACCACTTTCATTCCATGTTGTTATTACTAGTTCATAATCTATTACGTTGAGCATATCCTCTAAGCAATCATTTTAACCAATTAGGCACATCAAATCACTATTTTCCACACTTATTGATTTCACATGTTTTAGATATTGCTGGCTACAAATCTTATCAAACTAATTATAACCATCATTTGTGAATATCATATTAAGCAAAAAAGAAACAATAAAGCATGAACTATAATCATTTATTCAGTTAAAATTTTCACTTTTTATTGTACTTTAATGAATTTTTAAATTTTGATTTTTATCTCTATCAGTCTTTAATATTAACAAAAAATCATTTATCGTCGTATTTAATATGAATTGATATTTTATATTTATATAATATACGATCTAATTAGTTAATGTTATTATGTATTACTAGTTAACATGTTTGATTGTCAAGTTTAAGAATTTACTTGAATATAAATTAAAATTTAAAATTTCATTTTTAATTTAAAAAAATCAATAATTCGAGAACCTTTATTATTAAAAAATATATATAAAGATCATGTCGATAAAACAATGCATCAATGGGCGAAAAGAGAAAAGTGAGCAAGTAAAACAGTAGAGATATTATTGTCATGGATGTCCATTTTCGGATAGTCCAAAGGGAGTTGCATTAAATGTCAATGCTGATTCAAAGTCAGTAAAAAGGGATTGCCCCTCTCCCCCCAATTGTTCTTTTTTTTTTTCTCAAAGCTATGTTTTAATCATGCCATGGCCACTATAGGACTACACAAAAATTTTGGTGATCATCCATCCATTCATTCTGTTTTGAAAAAAGGAAAATAAAAAAAAGCTTTACTTAATTAACGAAAACCACACGAGGAAACGAATTTAATTTCACATGATCATCATATGATGATCATGGTTTATTTGATTTCTTTGTCAAATTTGTCCCGCCCCCACCCAAAGTTTCGTACTGTGCCATTCATCCGTTTCTGTACAATTCACGCTGAACCCGTTGGAAATTCCAAAGATCCTCCCCTTGTCCTTCCTTTCACCCGTGTAACCGTACTGAATCCTACCCAATGGGAGGCCTACATCTGGTAAACATGATTTAAAGCAGGTGACGTTTGCTACGATTACCGATCAGAAGTCGTGCATCTTTGGTGCTGCGATGGTACGTGTCGGACCGAGACTGGGTGAGGGGAAAAAAACGTGTTAGAAGGAATCTCTGTGTGCTTTGATTGGATGGCGGAAAAAAGGCGCGTGGATATCAGCGAAGACCCAAGGGTAAAATGGCGAAACCGTAATTAAGAGAAGAAACAAGCCCGTTAACCTAATCACATGTCTTACATTTCATGTTGTACATTATTATTAATTATTTAATTTTTTTGTTCACTCCTCTTCTTTTGTTTCTCTTCTTTCGTTTATCGAAGGTCGGGGAGGGTCAGGCACTTGCGCAGAAAATAGAAAAAATAAAAGGGAAAGATAGAGAGAGAGAGAGTGAGAGAGAGAGAGAGAGAGAGAAACGAAGGTTTATTCAGCTTCGTTAATGGCGGTTAGGGTTTCCAATTGATCCCTTCTAAAAGGAACCTTAATCTCTCCCGCCTAATATTTCAGAGCCCGCGCTTTCTCTCTCTTCTCGTTTCCCAAAAACCCTAATCCGAGGTTCCCCCAATCTCTCAAATTTACTTCGATTTTTCAATCTCTACGATTCCTTGTGGTTATTTGGGATTCGAAAATTTTGAAAGCGGAGAGCGAGAAGCGGCGATGGGCGCTCAAGAGAAATCTCAAGGCAACGCCAATTCGATGCAGGTCAGTTCGTTTCTCGCTGTTTTATAGAAGCCTTGTTGTTTCGTTGTAGAATTGGTCTTATTTTTGTTAGTTCACTTCCAGGATGAGTTAGGTATTAATTTTGAATTTTTGGTATGTTTATTATTGAGGAGTGATAAGAATCTATAGAGTAAGTGAAGTTCTTAACTTTAAATAAATTTAAATTTATTCTTGGCTTTGTACGTAGAGGTGCGATTCATTTTTTCCTGTTCCGTAGTGTTGGTAGTCGAACTTGACTTAGGTTTTGGTTTGAAGTGTAAAATGAAGTGAAATTAGCTTTAAGTGAGATGCCATAGAAATCTGTTGTTGGTTGGTTAAAGAAATTGATAATAAGTTTGCATTGTTTTCTTTTTTTGTGGAAGTTTTTGTGATTAGGGTGCTTAATAGATGTAGTGAAATGCAGTCCAGGGTGTGTTTTAGTCATCAAATAATTTTATGCCTAAGAAATAGGGAACAGAGTGATTTTAGTATAAGTTTATGACAAATTTTGAGTAAGTTGGAGGTATGAGTCTACTTTAGCTGATGTGACAGGGAATTTGTTACTAGACTGTATGTACTCTTAAGTTCAAAATGAGTAGGTAGTCATTACACCTGATATCATGCTTCTTTTCGTTAGGGTACTAGTTAACTAGGATCCTAGCCTGTTCTGCAATATTAGTACATTGTAGATTACATGATTCCTTTTTATCTGTTGGAAAAAAGGTATTCCATGTGTGGATAGGTTAATTCATTATCAGATTTGAATGTTCTGTTATTCTAGAGCGTCTTATTTCCTAGCAGTCATTACAAGTAACATGCAATATATATTTTTAATTTGATCTTTTCATTGTTCTTCAGATAGTTTTTGTTTGTATGCCATGCACTTTCCCAAAGAGGCCTTGGAAGTATGATCTTTTTTTTTTTTGTACTCTGACTAGACATTTTGAATCTTGGTAAGGGTGCTGTTCCATTGGTGACTTATCAAAGGTAGGAAGCAAAGACAGTAGCATCATTGGCGGAAACATCTTGGGCTGGAAATAGGAAGCATTTAGGTAGTTAAAATGCAATGATAAGACGTTAGCAGTTTATGGATCTACGTTGAAATCTTTAATTAGCTAGGATTGAGTAAACTTCTATTTACTTTTTATCTTACCTGCACGGTATTCAATGATCACAAGGGGACAAAGATCATACAAGTTATTTATTGTTGGCACTAGGATGGCTGAAATAGCTGCTTGAGGTCTAACTTCTTGTTAACGTGACTATGCATCACTTCAATGATATCATCTTTTAGTGTACCATTCTAACATCATTTTCAGTCTGTGTTGTTTGTCTGTGTGGAGTTTGCATGAGTTTTGGGAATTCTTATTTAACTCTCCTTCTCTCTTTTTGGTCAAATCATTTTATGAATTCAGCGAGTGAAGGTCTACCGTTTGAATG